CACATGAGACTGAGGCAACGTAGCAGGCAATGCTAGCTATTTCCTAAAATTTATTTCCTGTTCTTCCTGGAAACACAGCCAGTACTTCCCAGCCTCCCTCGCAGTCAGGTGCGGTGAAGTAATGAAGTTCTAGCCAGTGCAAAGCAAGCACAAGTAATGTCTTCCACTTCTAGGCCAGGCCTACAATTCACCATGAGCGCTCATCCACATGCCTTTCCCTTCCAGCTGACCAGCTGGTGACGCCCAGGGCTACCAAAGAAAGAAGGTGAAAGCGGCTGTCAGCTGGGTCTCAGTGACTGAAGGGAGCAGAGCCCCCTGTTGCCAAGAACATCGTCCTTCATCCCATGACAAGAAGTAAACGTCCACTGTTTGAGTCATTATAGTCATTATGCCGGGGGTGGGGCGGGGGGAGGGCATATTTCCCACAGTAGTTAACGCGACCCTAACACGGGAAGGCACTGTGACATGGTCATTCTAACATAAGGGACATGTTGATACAGTCTGAGATCAACTGTAGCTTAAAATTACCAAGAATGTGCAAAACAGTCGCATTCATTCCTGAGTCTCACCCCCTCGATGACCCTCGCCTCTGCAGTGAGCCTAAGAAATAAGGTGGGAGTCCGGGTGTCAGACCGGGTGTCAGTCGCCCTCACTGTGAGGTGAGCACATGTGGATCAGCTGCAAGGCACTAGCAACTGCAGCCAGACACCTACCTAGGAAAAACGCATCCTGGAGTGAAGGTAAACCCATGCAAGCAAAATGTTTAAGTCTGGGTTACTTCCTTTATTACATGTAGGATTATTTCTTTGCTTTTAGCAAAGAAAGTCACTGCTTTTCTAACAGCCCACCTAAAAATCAAGCTATCCCAACATGATTCATACTTATTTCCCATCAGACCATGCCCATTCATCACTGCATCCACAAGTTTCCTTAGTGTCTGACATGGAGTAGGTATTTAGTAAATGTTTCTCAAATATAATGTAGAAAGTAATTCGAAAACATGCAAGGCTTCATTGTTTCGCTATTCCTGTGACATTCATAAATACTTCTCCCAGTATCACCCACATTACAAATGAAAACAGTTTTTATTCCGGGTAGTCATAACTGTGTATTATCCATCAAACAATAAAATATTATTAGCTGAGACACATTCGGCCTGAAGAAGTGACACATTAACTTCTTGATCAAATGCCAGGACTTGCAGATGAATGTGAAACAGACATCAATAATTACAGCTTGTACTCCAGCTGCTGGTTTCTAAACCTTTAAGTTCAATGAACAAGTAATAACTGGACAGACACACCCTTTAGAAATTAGAGGTGGGAAAAGATTACCTCATTCCATACCTGTCACACAGCAGGCCCCCTGCAGCAATTCAGCAAGAGGCAGCTCACGGGCCCCAGGGGAGGTGGCTGGGGCTTCTAGGAGGATGCCACAGAGCCGGGAGCCTGGCACAGCAGGAAACTTGGCACTGGAGAACCCAGGAGTGGGGGCTTCTCTCGGGTACCCTCTCCCTCCCCCTTTCAATCCCTTTCTGTGCTTCCTTAAGAAACCTGGTCTGAATATAAGACGCATATATCTAATTTAAAAATTGCAGGCTTTTTCTACTTAAATCTAAAAAAGAGGTTACTAATACTAATAAAAATATAATTATCCCTCAGCTAATTCTTGATTTTACAAGCACATCTTAAAACACAGCATACTGCACGGCAATTAATGGACTGTCCCACCAAAAGCCTGTAGTTACGTTCCAGGGACGAAGATCACAAAAGCCAGTGTGGTGGGAAGCTAATCTGACACCACCACCGGATCTGAAGAAATTCTAGCGAAATGAACACACATCTCCAGAACACTCACCAGAGCACAGGGGGAGGTACTGCTGAAGAGGCCACGTACCTCCCTTCTACACGAGCGCACTGGTTTGGCCCCTTCCTCAGTCTCCTCATGGCAGTCACGCTGCCTGCCGTGACCTCGCCTGGAGTCCAGACTCCCTTCCCCAGTCAGTCTCTGTGTAGGTTACAACTACACCACCAAGAAGATGTGGCGTTTACTTTTCTTATAAGGTGGGTCGTGTCGGGGGAGGATAAAATAATAAAGACTAAAGAAGGCAGTTCTGCTCATTTTACCACAATCTACAGAGCACCCCAATCTCGAACGTGGAAAATGGGTCTTCTTGTCTCAGCAAGGCACAGAGGTCAAGGCTAGATCTATAGGAACAAAATAATCTTTAGACAGTTCATGGAAATTTACGTGAACACAGGTTCTACTTCCAGCAGAAGGTCTCACTGATTTAAATCGGAACCTAGAAGGTGCTCTGATTACTTCACAATACAAAGTAATTCCTTGAAATGCGAAGTCCTGGGCTTATAGCGCCTCAGGCTTTTCAAAAGTACTTTCCGATCCATCACCACGTTAGAAGGCACTGATGCCACAAATACCAATCTACATTTGGTTTTGGAAAAAGATTTTCGTGTACATATTTTGTCCAAATATTACTATTTGTTTCATGAAAGTCAGAGCTAAGACTTTAGCAGAGTGTAAATTTTAAGCCAATGAATAAACAGTTAGTTGGCTTGAAAAAATATTAAACTGACACGAAAAGCATTTATTGCTCTGCCAGATACTAAAAATAAAAGCAACTTCTGCCAACATGGAAAAACTTGAATTGTTTCAGTTGGTTCTGAATTTGACTAGTAGGTTTCATTATGTTATTTTTCCAAAATGGAGCCTGACATAACATTATCTTGTTTTCCTAAACGTTATTTCTTAAAAAAATAATACACAATTGGGATCTTATTTAAGTATCAACATGATACAATATTTTTTATAGTTTAGCAGGACATACATTTTTTAAAAAGCGGTATCTTTACCTAACACACAGAAATTTGGATAGTTTGAAAATTAATCTTCATATTTTAAGGATTCGAATTTGTCTTAGAGTTAATAATAAGCTAAGTTAATAATAATAAGCTAAGTTATTAAAATATTTAAAAGATAACATTCTGGACAAAAAGCATCAGGGAAATCAGGAGATTTTAAATGTGAGGTGCTAAGCTGTTAGTCGAAGTTCAGGTAACATTCTACTCCTGTCCTTGGCCTGCCCCTCCCTTAGCTGTCTCTCTAAAAAAAATAAGAGTGTGTAAAATATGGAGTTTGAGATTTATGACCAGTTGCAGAAACCTGTTTAACTACTGATTTATAGTTTTGGCCAAGGTATTTAACTCTGTCATCAGAACTAATTATAGCAAACCTGAGATTACATACTCAAACTCTCCTTTTGGTGAAAGAAATAGAATGTTCTGTTGAAAATCAGAAACATCCTGAGGGCTCCCACACAAGAATGCACGACCAACTCCACTTCCCCGAACCAGTGCTGCGAAGCGCACAATTACCGTTCTTTACTAAGTTGTACTAGCCTGAAGTACTTAATAAATCAGATACATTAATGCCACACTGATGGCTTGAAACATGTTAATCTCAGTTAACAGTAACTGACACTGACATCACTATTCTAATTCGGGCGTTCTGGGGGTAGTAAACGCCACGTTAAAGCTCCAGGAACTGAAGTTATGACCGATCCTAATGCTGTGAGCAGAGGGAGAGGACAAATGACTACACTTTTTAGGCAACATGGGCACTCTAAGAATAATGTTCCCATTTTATTGCTTTAACAAGTAAAATGTCTAATTCAAATTACGGCTGATAAAACTGGTTCCAAACGACATGCCAGCAGGGGAAAACCAAGACAACCAGTCCCTTCCTCTGTTCAAATCCTCTCTGCCACCACCTTCTCCTGTGCCATGTTTCGAACTTTTCACAGCTCAGGTCCCCAATGAGTGGGGATCTAATGAGACATGGCTCCCCTTACCGTGCGTCCCCTGCTACACTTCATTCGGCCATAATCCCTTCTCCTCAGTTAAAATGCTCCCGCCTACACCGGACAGCAGGGCAGCGTGGGCCATCGCGGGCACTGGAGCAGCTGAACAACGGCCTCCATGGCTGGACTTTGGGTCAGAGGCTCACAAAACAGCCAGACCTAAAGGTGGTTGCTCTGGCAAGACCTCAGCATGAGCCGAGCAGTGAGGCATGCCTGCAGGGGTCACTAAATGCTCTAAAGTGGATTCGGGAAAGAAAAACAAGGCAGAGGCTGCCTTGGGGCCCATGTGTGAATTCTGCATTACCTGCCTGCTCAAAGATAATACTTCTAATGTTTCAGACAAAACCACTGAATTGTGTGGTGGATTTTTTAGAAGAAAGGTCCCTGTAAGTTTCCATTCGCGCATTAGGATTTTAAAATGAGATGTTGCAGGTAAGCGGTAAACTGTATCTACAAAACACAACAGGGGACAGTAAATCACGAAATATAAGATTTTCCAATATTTAGTCTGGGGACCTTTTCATGATGAATTCTATAGCAGATAAACAATCTCCTAAAATCTTGCCTTCTCTATATTGGCTTTTCTCACCTAAGTGGAAGCAAGATATAATTTTTGTTTTCTTAAATACCAACTTAGCTACTCACTTATTCCAGAACATAGGTAAAATACCAAATATGCCACCATAAATTAGTAAAGTTTTGTTAGCATTGTAAGTCTAAAAGCAACAAAATAACAGAATTATAATCATGACTCATTTTCTATGTTCCTGACTTTATATTATCAAACCACAGAAAATTCACACCAGGTAGCTGGAAATCCTCTGATAAAGGTGGAAGAATGAAGATAAACTGATGAAAACCACAGTAAGCAGTTCTTTACCTCTTTGAGCACCAAGCAGGGAGGTAAAGACACCAAAGGCCTGCCAGAAACCGAAAATATACAGCTGTGGTCCTCTGACTGGCTGGTTATGTGATTTCTCAAAACCTCTCTAGTTAGTTAGTTGCGTGACACACACATCCAATGACAATGAAGTCCCATGGCACCAATCCTCTCTTTAGCTTCATTAATTCATTCAATCTTTTAAGGAGTATGAGAAAGAGGAACAAAAACAATCAGACCATGTTCTTAGAAGGTTCAAAGTTATATTGTCTTGAGTTAACAACATTCTAATATAATATCATTTTCTTTTCTAAGAATCATCTCAAAATTTTAAAAAATGATATGGCTGAAAGAAATATTTAGGAAGACAGTTCCAGGCAGAGCTGAATTTAAATCATCCTCCAAACACTACATTCTGTCTCTTTTTTAAAATTATAATGTTTTATCTGAAGGTACATAAAAATTAATCAATCGCTTTTATTTTGAGACTGTGAAGTATCAACTCTACTGCTTCCAATAAAGAACCAATAATTACTTTTATAACATTAAGATAAAGTTATCTGTAAAGACAACAGCAATTGAGACTTTCTTGCACTTATGACTAATCCATTATAAACAAATGCCAATCTTAAAAACACAATTCCAGAATAAGTGCAGTTATACTAAGTACAGATAAGAAAGTACAAGGAGCTCATTGGCTATGCTACACCAAATGGATGAAAAGTAAAATTGATTTTATACTGCAGGTCTATAGAAATAAATAAAATTCTATTTTTTCCCCCTCTACATATGCTCAGATTCCTTGTACAAATAACAGAATACTCAATTCCATTCACTTCAATAGGATGAACTTGTTAGAAAAGATTGAAAAGATCTGATAATCAACTCCCAAATTTTATGCATCTTTTTTCTACTTCTGTCAATTTCCTAACATATATTATTAACACAAGCAGGAAAATCTTTTCACTAAATTGAGCAATGGAAGACTCAAGTGGGAACTCAAGTAATGACGCAATGTCTTGAAGAAGTCTGGCAAGTTACATATATCCCATGTTGCTTTTAGTTTCCCATCTTTTCTTTGCTTCAAATCTAAAATAAAAAACATAAAAACCTCAATTTACTTCTAAAATACTTTACTAAAGTAACATATTTACTAAATGCCAAAGAAAAATTAAAAATTTTTCACATACTCCATTGATTAAAAGATAAACATCAAACAGGATGAAGAAATGCCTCCTTATTTACAATCTGACATTCAGCACAGATACAAAGCATAAAAGGAATAACAATTACACACAAGCTGGATTCATAAAATATCACAGGATTTCTGTAGTTTCTATGAAATTAGAAGAATTACTACCAAAAGTCTTAAACTTACCCCCATGCAAGTTTCTTCTTTTTTCGAGCGACCTGTGAATTTTCAGCTTCCTTTTTGGCTTTTACAAAGTTGTGGCAGGCAATTGCTTTGGCAATTTTTACACCAAGCTAAGAATGAGAAAGGAGAAAAAGAGGAAAAAAGAGAAAATAAATTCCCACTAACACGAGAACACACACACTTGAGAATCTGTGGGTAAGAAAGCTATGTCTAGAAATGAGAAACTCTTATGCTTAGGCCCCTTGTACGATCAAAGCATAGGGGCTACGCAGATGTGGCCCATGTTCCCTTACCCTCCCAGGTCCCTGAGCCTACCCGTTCCAGTCTCCCGGATGGAAACCCTTCCCAAACTGAGGACCCTCGAGGGCCCCAAAGGTTGCGATAAAGATCTGCGCGCTATTTCATTTCGGTGTGCCCAACAGGAATTCACCCCGATAAGACTGCACAGACTGACAGAGACATCAAGTTTCTTTGCTCTGGGCTAGAATTACAGCAGATCAGTACGGTCACACCAGTTATCTCAGGCCGATCAGAAGCTCTGATTGGCAGTCGGAGATGTGATTAATAAAACATGGGAAAGCTAATTACGACTTTGTAAACGCACTTTGTATGATGGGCAACAGCTTTTAATTCACTGACAAAGAAAGAATGCAAGGAGTGCTAAGAGGAGAAAAGGCTGGGCACCAGGGCCACAGGACCTGCCTCCCCTCCGCTGGTCCCTCTGTTCACATGAGCTCCTCCTCACACCCATCGGCCAGCCCTACAAGGTCCAACCCAACTAAGCCTCCTCCTCTCCACTTCCAGTCTCCTCTAACTCACCCCGACAGTCTCCGTTTCTGTCTCTCCAGCCCTTCAGCTTCTACGCCGTAACCTGCACTCGCACACCCTGCTTTACCCACCCACCTCTCTGGCTGCAGAGCTGTTCCTCAGCACCTGTCTCCAGGACAGTGGTAATCGGGTTTTAGCGGGCTCTGAATTTAACATTTGTTAAGAACCCAGGTTAAACAACAAAGGCTGAAAATCTCTTTCTAGTGTTTCTTACTTTTTCTGTCCTTGCACTCAACCTCATGCAAACCAGTGGATGGCAGGCTTGTGGAAGAGAAGAAAGGACCTGGACGCCACTTAAAGTCAACGTGTCAAAGCCCAGGTTTTAGGGATCTGTTTGCCAAGAGCGCCACACGGCAGGGGGTTAAGAGCCCACATGTGAGGAGAGGAGCCGGGTTAGGAAAGTGAGGGTGGCTGCCCATTTCTCCAGCTTATCTTGGAGAACAGTTTCCTTTGAGATGAAACAAATGAGTAGTAATCAAGCACTGACTGGGATTTCTAAATAAGAGCAAAAACAGCCCTAATTTTTCAGTCCAGGAAAGAGGACATATAAAGAATGAAAGAACCTGACAGTCAAACCAAGGTGCTGAGCCGGTCAACACCAACGGGAAAGCCACTGAAGAAAGGATGACCAATTGTGACTGGAGAGCCCACTCGAGAAAGCAGACCGATCTGTGTCTCCTCAAAACCCAAACCAGTATCAGCAGCCCTACTACTGTCATTGTCTTTTGTCACAAGGATAACATTCATTCGACAAATATTATATGAGCACAAATGTATAATATTGACAGGTGTGTTCCAGGCACCAGAGACAGAGCACTGAACAAAAGGGCTCATTTTCAAATTGTGGGGCTGGGGAGAAAGGGTGGCCAGTGACATTTCACTGCTTTAAGACTTGTTCTCTTGGTTCTCTTTTCATTTCCAGTTCTTTAGCAGAGAAAAGTTCATCTGTCAACTAAAAAAGATCTAGGACACAAAGGGCTGTAGCATCATCATCCAAAGAGAAAATCATCTCCGGAAAGATGCTGTGGTATGATGTGTCAGTAGGATGGATTTCCTAGCCACTGAAAAACTCTCTGTTGTCATTAGCATAAAAAATCAGGTTAGCACCTGGCAGGTTAGGCTAGTCAAAACTGCGGTATCAAACCGATCCCCAGATCTCTTTGGCTGAACTTTTACTTCTTGTTTCACTTAAAGTCAGCTGTGGACTGGCAGGGGTCTCCGCCACCTCGTAGTGACAGCATCTCAACGTGTGGCTTCCAAGTTCACTGTGGCGGAGGAAGAGATGGCTGGAGGGTCTCCACATTGGCTTCTAAAAGCCTTAGTCCAGGAGTGACACACATCATTCCTGCCCACGGCCCTCTGGTCAGAAGTACAAGCACGGTTCCACCTAACTGCCAGGCGGCTGGGGACATGGGGTACCGTGCGATACTAGGGCGTTAAGTGCACCCTAATACTGTGTACTATCATAAAACGCAGCTTGCTACCTGTGTTTAAGTTGTACGCTAGGTCTCTCCACATTCATGTAGGATATTTGGTCTCTTCCCTGACTTCAATTCCAAAAGGTAAAACAAAAAATTCTGTATTTTCCTACTTAACGATATTCCTATATATTATGTATCACATCTATATATTATGTATCACATGCAAATTTTGCCAAGTCAGCTCCCCAACAAAAGTACCACTCCAGCTAGTTTGTCTCGTTTTTAAATTGAGCCTACGCTTCGAGTATGAAACAAAAATGACCTGAAACATATTTGCCATGTCCTATTGACTATGTAACAAAGTTATTTTCTAAAACTATTGTAAATGAAGACGTATCTTACATTTCTAGCTCACTGAAATGTCCCAGCATGGGTTCTCTGGATTTGGGAGAGACAGGTCAAAGAGCATCTCGTGTGTGGACACGTGGTCCATTTGATCATTGAAATGGGCTCTTCATCTCAACAAGGTCACATACTCTATGAATGTAAAAGCTTAGTTTTTTAGTAATGTTAAGGCCAATTCCGGCACAATCCCCAACACAGTAAAGATTGAGAGCATGTGTTCCATAAGACACAGTATAAATTTGTTAAAAATAATTCATTATAATGTATGAACCGTGTGTTATTCATGAGAGGGTTCCATCATTTTTTGTACTAAATAACTGGGTGCACAGGCAACGCGTTCAAACAGACCTGTCCATGTAAAAGGTATATTTTCTATCTGTATTTTGCCTTAGGTTAGGTTAAAAGGCACATTGTTCAATTACTAAACATTAAAGAAACCTGGTCTCTGTATTTTATAGAAAGAATCTTTTAAGCTTGTAATAATGATGAAAAGTCGTTATCAATTTTGTGTCCTTCGCATGCTTAAAATAAATGTGTTTCACTTATTCCTGTGGAGAATTAAAAAAGTGGACATATTTGGAGATGTGAAAGGGTAATACTTCTATGGAAAAGCCAGGTGAGAGGAAACACATTTTCCCAGGCAAGATGATTAACCCGAGTTCCAGAAGATAAAAGAATATCGTGCTACGTTTCAGTATTACAAACAAATAATATAGGCCAACAGGAATCCCTCTTCACTTCCGTAAAAAGAAAAATGCATCTTCATGCCCAAGTAAACATCACAAAAGCTTGGTCAATGGTTTTATATTTAAAAACTGTTTCGGGTCATCAGATAACTATAGCAACACAATGCGGGAAGAAATTTTTTTAAATGAATAAAAACATATACAGAATTTCTTGTATGTGTAACCAAAGTATCAGCATTTTCCATATAGAACATCCAATATTTTGCTGCATTTTAATTAAGGTGTCTAAACATTATCACAAAGAACTGCAAATTGGTCAGAGCAAGCGGTAAGGAAAATTAAGCTCTAAAGGCTTTTTATCACCATATTTCAGGAACCAAGGGTGTAAAATGTTCTAATTTGGGATATATTAAAAGCCATAAAAGGTCTTTCAAAAAGATTAATGGTACTTTGCTTGGATTTAAGATAAGGGCTTTAGCTGGTTGGAAAAGCAGGGCCCTGGCTGGACCCTTGAGGCATTCATCTTTACAGCCACTTGGAAGATTTGTAAAAGCGTCTGCATAACCTCAAGCAAATGCTCAGCGACATTTTTTTAATTCCTTTCAATTTTACAGGTTTAGCATGTGTAAATCATACTGGGTTGTAAAACAGATATAATGGCACATCTTGTAACATAGTAGAGATTTTTAAAAGACAAACTTTTAAAATCAAGTTAGTTTTTCTGGCTAAACCTTGCCATTCTAAAGTTTGCTGATAATCATTTGCTCATCTCATTCAAACAGCTTAATCTAGTCCAACTGTAACTTCTCCATTTCATAAAATATTTTACTCATCTCAAAATTACTAGCTTGTAACAGATTTATGAAGTTTTCCTCCCTTTCGAATACTTTCAAGGCACTTATTTAAAAATACCAATTATCATACTTTAACTTTTTATGGAATAATAGGTCTCTATGAAAAATATTTATGCCATTCTCTTTTGTTCTTTAATTAAATGAAAACAGATGTTTTCTGAAGTAAAGCGGAACCATTACTGGAGTACTTAAAGTGTTAAGGTCTTTAATTTTTATATCAGTTTGGTCGACAATTCCTGATTGTCTTTACTCAAGCTCAACATTAATGTCAAGCAAGTTACCTAGGAGACGAAAGAGATCAAAGAGACAAAAACCCCTCCAATGTCTGATTAATCAAGCCTGCAAACAGCTTATTTCTTTTAGCCTGCATGCAAGTATGAAAATGAGATTCTGGGAGCCGAACATTGTGCAGATTTGTTCATTCTTATCAGAACAAAGCCAGCGGCAGCTTATTTCATGGATCATTGGCACTGTCATCAGTGCTACACAGAACGGGTGACAGCTCCTCATTTTGAGGCTTGAACAAAATTAGCAAAAAGTCGGCACAAATTAGCCTCTCATCTTTTTGGTAATATGACATTATTCATTTACTTTTTATCCAATTTTTAATTTTTTCCTTGTCAGCTATCCCTTTCTAGTGTCTCTTCCATGGCATCATAAAATGCCTTCTTAAAAACAAGCAAAGAAATAGCCAAAGTTGAAATAACATGCAAAGTTCAAAAAGCAAATAAGAAAAAAAAGCATTTCCAATGACTAATAATGCTTTATTTTTTCTAACTTCGAAAACTTTGCTCAGAACACCATGCGGTAAAAGAGTTTTATAAAACTGGTAATTTATTTCAATAAAGCATATGATCTGGCTAATGTGTTTCACTCAAACCACAATTTAATATGGTATGTGCTTTGGTAAATTCGG